ATGATGATGATGAAGATGATGATGATGATGGTGATGATGATGATGATGATCAAAATGATGATGATCAAAATGATGATGATCAAAATGATGATGATCAAAATAATGATGATCAAAAAAATGATGATGATGATGGTGATGATGATGATGATGATGATCAAAAAGATGATGATCAAAAAGATGATTATCAAAAAGATGATGAAAAATAATAATTGCCTGGAGTACGCACTATATACATCTATATACCGGGTTTATATTGCCTAGAACAGTATACACAGTATGTATATACGTGCCCTCCCCTGGTAATGAAGCTTGTCAGAGAAAACCAATCGACAAATATTCAGAGGGAATTATGCAATTTTCCTAGGATATTCCAACTTTTGGGGGTCTGACCGGCAAAGTTCTGTACGGATAGTGGCACATTGTCACCATCATTCCCTGTTTAAAGCCATTATTGTACTTCTTTTTGACGAAGTCAATGAATCATATTTCCGTTGTCTTGTGACTCATTATCGTCTGGATTTCGGGAATGGTCTGCAACAGAGATTTGACTGAACATCAGCATATCATCTGTGACCTCCTGCCAGCCAGGCTTGTGGCCCAAAGTGCCTAAATGTGGGATATAAAGGTACCAACCACTAAACTTCCTCCCGTCGAAATTAAGCTCCTGAAAAAACCCTGGACCGTGGGGGGGCTAGCTTGCGCGACAAGAAACCACAATGGAGAGTCGGACCTCGTGCCATGTGGATTCTGAGTCCTCAAGGCAGGGACTATGTGTGGTTATCCATATGTATGTATATATATATATGTGTGTGTGTGTATGCATATATATATATATAATATATATATATGCATATGAACGAACGGCTTGTTGAGCAAAGCAGGGCATTTTTTTAATACACAGCTGATACTGATTCTCACGAATCCCCCACCCAGTGCTACACAATAGCCTTTAGATTTTAGATATTTCTCTTTCACATCTCACAAAATTCCACTTGACGCAGCCCTGCCAATGCGATCTGCAAAAAACACGCAACACGACACGTCTAAAGTGCTGCGCCTGCCACGAAAAATGACGATGGACACGTCCAAAGTGCTGCGCCTGCCACGAAAACTGCAACACATCTTCTGAAAACGTCGCAAAAGTATTGCGCCTGCCACACAAAACCATTTTCGACACGTTACAATAAAACACGTCTGAATGTCACAAAGTGCCACGCCTGCCACGCGAAACGAAGCAACGATAAGTTTGAATTGAAACCTCCAAAAATGACCACCTCTGCAAAACTTACCATATGCACGACGGCCATACGGCCCTCACGCGAACGGTTGCGAACGGTTGCGAACGGTTGCGAACGGTTGCGAACGGTTGCAAACGGTTGCGAACGGTTGCGGACGGTTGCGGACGGTTGCGGACGGTTGCGAACGTAAACGCAACGTCGAGCGAACACATCCTCAACCCCCAGACCCCCAGAGTGAAACGGGAACCCTTGCTACGCATTCGGGAAAAACCCTGATGCGGCCTCTCGACCTCACTACGAAGGTCGCCACGCTCCCGTTCGCTCTGAGCCTTGGAAGCATCAATGGTCAGTTGATCCAATGGAGGATGGAAAGGAAAAAACATCAGATTGGTTTACTGTTGGGACATATCAACGTTGTATGTATATCTATATATATATATATAACACTATAACTAATTATTGAGATCTAAGAATGACCCAAAGTGGTCAATTCTGTCGACTCTGGCTAAAATGATGATATCCTGGAATTAGGTGGGTCCTCAAGTTTCATGCACATACAGTTTGAAAAAGATGTGTGGCAAAAGACAGCCATCAAGCCTCACGGATACAGAGATTTCCAGATCTAGGTCTCACGCTATGCTCTCCCGCTGTGATAGAACCTGAAGCTGCGCCACCAAAAGCGGTAGTTTCATCAGTATACAAAGCTCCAACTTTGATGATTCAAAAGGGACCTACATACATGTATAGAAAAAACATTCATGTTGACACACCTGTATCTCCTTTCATTCTGTACATGCTTGCCATATCCGAAGTCTGGATTTATTCTCCAGCAATCAAACATTGCAATTCAAATTGTGGCGCCTTGCGACGCCAATCGGCCAGCTCGGCCTGCCATACAATTTCCAACCGGCAACTCGAGAAGGCCCATTTTCAGTTCTTAGAGTTGGGCGGGTTTTGAATCAACGAGGCTGTTTCTGGTACAGTATATGTTTGCAAAACCTCTATCACACTCTACAAGACTTCTTCGGGGTTAAGCACCATCGCACCACTATTCCAAGTTCAAGTACTGCTTTACAGTAGCCCCCAAAATGCTGGGAAATGCTATCTCTGAACAAATCAAACATGATCATGAAAGTGCAGCTTTAATATTCGAGCAGTAATGGATTCACCCAAGAAGGACCTGGTGTATTTTTCAAAATTATTGCCTCAGCACCAAAAAGTGGGGTGTAAATCCTAATCAATCTAATCACATCTCATTCTACGGCTTTTCCATTGCTTGCTTCACACCTCTTGACCACAGACCCAAGTATTCTTTCGGTTGTTCCACATTTCCTATCCGCCCCCACAAAAAAAAGAAAAATCACAATAAAATCCATATTTCTGGGTCAGACCAGCCAGAGGATCTGTTCAGTATTTTCTCCCTGGTTGTTTCAACAAGGATTCTCCCAGTTGGAAAGAAAAACCCTTTCAAATCATCCCAGCATTGTTCAGAGGCAAAATTCAAACTCAAGCCGGCAACCCGGAGAAATTCAGGGGTTTACAGAATCAGCTGGTTTTCCAGCTGAGAATGTTCACCACTAAACCAATCCATTGAAGCCAGCATTTGATCACCAACCAACCAAATATTGGCTGCTTCAATTAGTATATATCCCATCAGTATCCCATATCCCAGGTTCAGGATTGCTCCCAACACCCCAAAAACAAGGGGAAAAACTTGGTAAACAAAGACGTAAATTCACGCATTTACCTTCCAAGACTGGCTGCGCTTAGCCTATAATAATTGGTCGGAGCAACCCTGAGGTACCCAATCAACAAATTCCCCAATGAGAATTGCCCAAAAATGGTTTTGTAGTAACCATCATAAGACAAAATAACCAGGATAGTTAACTAACAATAATTTATAACATGAGAAAAGATAGTGTGCAATAGCATCCCTTTGTTTGTTGACAGTGTTCACTCAATTTGAGTCCCATTCCTGACGTCAACGAATCGTTGGCACACCTCCAGCGATGGACTCAAGGGCGAGCTCGACTCAGCGGATTCGGTCAGCGCGGTGCTACCTAGGGACGACATCCATGTGGCTGGGCGAAAATAGGGTAGCCGTACATCAATTGGTCAATCATAAATATGTGTATATATATAAAGATTCAAGGGAACGCCTTTTTTGACACTGCACTGCAAGACCTGGTTAGTCAAAATAAGGAGTGAAAATCACGTTGAAAAAATTAAAATACCTCCCCAGGAGCATTCAAACCAAGGAACCCCCGTCCTTTACTACACCTTCAGAAAACCCGGCCAAACCCAAGGCAAACTGATAGGCATAGATGGGCCACTCTAGTGTCCGGCCAAACCCAAAGACACTGGAGATCTTCACCCACACCAAACAACCCCTGTGTTTGTTCGATTTTTGCTCCTCTTCGGGGAGGGGGGGAGGGACGCAGAGCCCAAGCTGCGGGTGTAAAAAAGTATGCTTACCTTTCATCTTTATCAACGGGGGCGTTTACCCAAAGATTCAAGGGAACGCCTTTTTTGACACTGCACTGCAAGACCTGGTTAGTCAAAATAAGGAGTGAAAATCACGTTGAAAAAATTAAAATACCTCCCCAGGAGCATTCAAACCAAGGAACCCCCGTCCTTTACTACACCTTCAGAAAACCCGGCCAAACCCAAGGCAAACTGATAGGCATAGATGGGCCACTCTAGTGTCCGGCCAAACCCAAAGACACTGGAGATCTTCACCCACACCAAACAACCCCTGTGTTTGTTCGATTTTTGCTCCTTTTCCAAGTTCCCTTCGCTGCGAAGCTGGCTTCGTAAGCTCAAGCTTGGCTAAAGGTTTAGTGAGACCAGTTAAATATTGGCTTCTGAGATTTTTGTTGAAAGCATCCCACGGGACAGTAATTTCGGCAAGGACTGCCAGTCCACTATTGATATAGATGCGTGCAGTAGCCGCTGCCTGCCAGCGACCTAACACTAAAAGTGAATCAAAACGACCTTGCACCTGAAACAAATGTGTCGCACCTCCCCTTCGGAGAGAATATGGTCTAAAATCAAATTTGTCAAAGTTCACAGCAGTGACAATTTCAGCAAAACGCTTCCTCCATTGGTGAGAGGGGCCACAAAGCAGCATGTCCGATGCCGCTACCGATTTCCATTGAAACAAACGGCGGCAAACGTCTTCAGAGTGAAGAGTGACACTTTCTGCCACTCCTTGTCTTTTGCCAGACTTTGTCAATCCAAGGGAAATAATTGCAGGCCCCTTGGAAGAAACAATAGAAACATCTTTTGCCTTTAGGGCCAACAATTCTCCAGTTCTCAATAATCCATGAAAACCAAGAAGAAGTGACAAGGCAAACAGGTGCCACTTTTTAAAAATGGCATACCCAACTAAAACGTACAAACAATCCAAGGCTAAGGGGGGAGCTCGATTTGGCACCTCATGGGTAGCCCAAGTTTTCATGAGTCTCCAGCTCATTTTGAGCTTGCCTTTCAGGTGGGGTTGAGCGTCCTGCAACCCAGCCAAAATATTAGATCCTTCTGTACGTCCTTTTCCTTGTGCCCACAAGGCTTCAAGGTAATCCGACACTACAAAATCTAATTGATAAGCTGAATTAGGTAGCAAGATGCGCTCAGCGCGTAGCCAGTTGTAAAAAGACTCCCTAGCTTCTTCATATCGCTTGCGTGTAATTGGCTGTACAGTTAGACTCTTTAATGTACCAAGTTGTCGACGCATCTTCGCACGTGCTTCGGCAGTGGGAGCCTCTAGATGCCGTTTTGGCATGCTCTCCACTTTCTTTTCAGCGGGCGCCGACTAGGCGCATCCGCTGGATTTTGCTTTGTGTGGACATAAGCCCACACCCCTTGCGAACGGGTTGCCAGAAGCAGTGCGTTGATGCGAAGAATGGTACGTCTGAGTCTTCGGGAGCTAGACCGCCCTCGACTGAGGGCATGCATCCCCACAAGCGAATCAAGCAAATGGACAAACTTAATTTGGACCTTCTTGTGTCTTTCCAACCTCCACCTTAAGGATGTCAAGACGGCCCGCAATTCAAGGGAGTTTATGTGTTCACGATCGCCCGTCCATTTCCAACTAGCGACCGTTTGCCAAGACCAAAGTTTTGCTGGGATACTCATACGAAGCCGGTGATACCGCGTCACGTCTTCGGACGCAGGCTGAAGCAAAAGGTCTTCCCCTTTGAGGCTGACCATAGTACACAATTTTGTAACTAACTCCAAGGTTTTCTTGGAGTTGTCAGGCTTCCCCCTAGCATTTTGCATAGGCGGTCGACGCAGAAAAGTCTGCAAATGAGCTGTACAACCAGGAGCCGTTCTTTGAACGATCTCCTCTGGGGACATTGTTGAGTTGAGACCTAAAACATTGCCTAGCTGACTTAGCAGCCATGCAATGACGGAGACATTCCAACTATTCCCAACTAGTGTGAGACGTGTATCTACATGCAACTGGGATCCCTGCTCCCCTTTGGGGAGACAGTTCACCGTGTAGTCTTTCGGAAAGCCCATGATGACTTCCCGCTCCTGTACATTGGGCAACCGCTTGTCACCTTTCTTGTTCTCCACACAGTGTACCATTCGGTATTGATATGGAGGGAACCTGAATTCGTCTTTCTCCCACATGGCCTTTTCCTCGTCTGTACATTGGTGTAACCCAGCTGGTTTATAGCCAGGCTTACCACGAGGACGGCTAGTGGTAAAAGTGGGGAATTTACCATCACCACACTTTCTCCACCCGGGAGTCAAATACTGCGCCGGGTCTACTTCGACCTTCAGCTCGACAGAAGACCTACCCACGGGAGTACGCCCATATACTACCTGCTGGTGAGGTAGCAACTCCCAATCGATCCAATATAGCCTCGGTCTGTGAGCTAGGGACATTCCCCCAGCGTCAATGTACCAAGGCTGGGCTTCAAAAGACTCGCTCATCAGGTCCTGATCACTCAAATCCATAGACGCGACATTCTCCATGAGCCCTTTTACTTGGGCCCAAGGAAAACATTCCTGTACAAGTGATCGGACCCGTGCTACGTGCACAAAGAGACAGCTCCGCTCGTCTCTCAGGGCTCCTTTTCTTGCTGCATTAAGGCCGCTCACCCCCTGACACGGAGGCCCACCTCCAACAACAACTACTGCGGCCTGGCTAAACTGTTGAGCCCAGCCTTTGACAGTTTCCCTGTCCACATCCTCCACATTTTCAACAACCACTGTATTGGGGAATTGGCTCTCGACAACTCGTGCTGCAGCCTTGTTCTTTTCAATACTGATGTGCCCTAGGACGTTCCATCCCAAGGCATCAGCTGCAACTCTCAAAGCTCCTATCCCATCGAAAAGTCCGATGGTTAAGACTCCCGTGATGTCACTGGGCTCCAAAAGGTCTCCTCGGACACCACATGTGCTAGCCACAACCCCCATTGGAGTCAAACCCGTCGTGGCGGTGACTCCTCCACCTCCTTCGGAGGCGTCACTGGCGGTCACTACGCCACTCAACTGGCATCGAAAATTCATGTAGCCTAGTGGCACCAAACCAATGAATCTGGCCATCTCGTGCTTGACATCCCACGACAGTTTAAATTTCTGCCAAGGTGGGTGTCCTTCGCAGTCGACGATAAACTGCCAGATATGGTTCAGCCCTCCCAAAAGGGGCCGCCGGAACATAGCTATGTACACAAAACCTCCTCCTACCACTTGGAGTTGTTTTTGGCTGCCCTCACCTGCAATTAGTAAAAGCTGAGCCAATCGGAGGTACCTCAAAACCTTCTCCGGCTTTGGGTATGCCAAGCCTACTCGGCCATCAACAATGGCACCTTGCACCTCAGCAACAGGTTGCCTAGCAACGCCCTTTTTTGGGTGTCTTGGAATCCCTAGCGAGGCGTAGGTCTCTTGCAGACTTTGAGTCAATGGTGAGACACGTCCCGTGATAAGAGCTGCCATATCCTTTGAGACACGTTCCAGCTCATCAAAGTTGTCAAGGTAAATCCGATGAATAGGGTTAGCCCGCGGAAAGGGTTTGTCCTTCCTGACCTCACCTTGACTGCCCTGCCCAGGAACCCCGCGTATGGCGCGGTTTACTACAAATCTATGCACAGCCTGGGCTAGTGACACCGAGTTTTTAAAACCCATTGGAAGAACTGCGCTACAAGGATACCACCGGCCCGGCTTGTTGCCACACAACTCACTAGGGAGAGGGCGATTGAAAGCCAAGAATCTATGCCAAGCCGATGGAACCTTAAAAATGTAGAAGAACGCCCGCACGTCTTCGCTTGAGACAAGCAGTTGTTCGTGCGGCTGCAAATGCAGAGGTGACATTCCCGCCCATGAGGGCAGGGTGCTAATGTCACCCTCGATCCCTCTACAAATATTGTTGACCGGGATCATGTTCATTATGATTCTCATGATTTCGACGTCCCCAACAAATTCATGTTTGGAGACGCCAAAAAGGCCATTTAGGACCTTTTGTCCTTTGACCACATGCAAATCATCCTCATGAACTCTACTAAAAACTCCCAATTTCAGGAGCTGATCACAGAACAAAAACCAGTCTTCGGGAGGTACCATAACCTTTGGAGGTTTGACTGGAAACTGGTCCTCCTCGGCTAAAAGATACTCTTCAAAATTCTGAGTATAGTGCCTGGACCCAAACTCCAGTACACTCTCTAAATCAACGCTTCCTACCTCTTTGGGTAGGGCGGGAGACACGTTCTCCCAGCGCATCTGCTGAGCTGTAAGCACTTCATCTCCTCAATAGTCCACGCCTTTGGCGCGGAAGAAATCGGCCCAGCTGAGCTGGGGATCCAATTGAATCCACCCAGCAACTCTACTGCAGTCCTCAAGAAGACCCTCCATTACCTTCCTTTGATATTCAGAAGCCTCGGAAGGCACATCCAAGCCTTCCCCGTTTAACGAATTCAAAGAAACAGTCAAACACCTCAAAACACAACGTTCACATGGGGATACCTGAGGGAACATAGTGGCCAGTGTGCAGGAGGACGATGGCAGGGGAAAAAGCCTGCCCGTGGACATGGTCTTGCAGTGTCGTGCAAAAAAGGCGTCCATCCTACTATCTAGCCAAGTTGAAATACTCCCCAAGGTCATCCCCTCAACACCCTCGCAACCCTGTTTTTTCCGGAGTCCGTCCTGGCCCAAGCCTAGGGCATGCGACCCCTGATCCGAAGAAAAAGGCAAGCTTTTGCCATCTGTACATTCCGTAGTGCCCAAAGTAGTGGCAGCTACCTCAGGCAAAATTTTCGCACCCGACGGGAGTTGTTCCACTCCCCCTCTCTCACTAGCATCATAGCTCCTCAATCTTTTCTTCTCTTTTCTTTCCTTCTTCCTTTGCAGCCTTCTCCAAGTCTTTTGTATCTTCTTCGAAGCCATTGTTTGAAACATACACCCCTCTAGCCCTCTCTTCTGTGCTGAACCAGCCTGACCTCTCCTCATCTCAGCGACCTTCTTCTTCTTTGCGGCACTCCTCAAAAAATCTCTTTTGTCCTCATTCTGGTCCTCTGCAGCTTCTCTTCTCGGGAGCACTTCTGGGCTCCCACAAGCTTCAACCCTCTTCGGGAGCACACCTGGACTCCCACCAGCCTCGACCCCCTGGGGGCCTCATACCTCTCCTCACCAGCCTCACTCTCTTTCACGCCACCGGCTTCTTGGGGTCGCCCTCCTTTGACTTCCCCTTGCCCTTGTCTTTTGTCTTGTCCTTGCCCTTCTCTTTGCCCTTCGTTCTTCCTTTCTCGAAGGCAGGGGCGGAGGGGAGAACCTGCTGGTCGAGCCTCGCCTCTTTGCGGGCCACCTGTATTTCTGAGCGGCCTCCGATCGATGCAGTCGGCGGAGGCACAAGCTCGAGCTTCTGGCTTGTTGCCCAGTTCGTGCCCCCCGCTGTCAGCTCCAGCGACTTGAGCCGCTGCACCAAAGCATCCATTGCTTCCGAAGCTCGGCCTTGCAGAAGAAGGTCTCCTATCCAACACAGAGTCGAAAATTCTCGACTCACTCCTCCAGATAGGCGACCGACCATGTAGGTCCTGTGGTACAACCCCAACAGGGGGGGTAGGGACTGCCTGTCCTCTTCCCACCCCGTGCCAGCTACCTGTGTCAAAAACTCTTTCATATTGCAAATCCCTTGGGCCGCCAGCACTCCAGGGGCTATCGCCGCAATGCGGTGAAGTTTGCTGCGGTCTTCCAGGACGTCCTCCCCTCCTGACCCACTTGATGTTGTCGATGTCGATGAGGCGCTGCTGGAAGACGACTCTCGTGTCTTCTTCAGCTTCTTCTTCACCAGCTTCAAGATCTTCTTCCGGTTCTTCCAGGAGGGGTCCAGGCCAGTGCCCTGGAAGAGTGCGTCTGTAGCTTTCTTTGCAACTGTTTTCCCTCCTAGCTTTGGCTTCCCGGGAGCCCTCAACTCCCCCGCTTCCAGCCTCCTTGATTCCTTCTTTTTCTTTCTCTTCTTTTTCTTCTTCCTGCCCGGTGAGGTCGGTGATGATCTCTTCCTGATCTCCTTCTTCTCCGCTTCTTCTTTTCTTTTGCGCAAAGCCTCTGCTTCGCTTTGGAGTATCGCCGTTTCCGACTCCTCTATCAAATTGGCTTCCCAAGTCTTCGGGGCCTCCGGCGCCAGACGCCGAAGAAAACGAGTGTGCAAAAGATTCGGGTTGTGCCGCAGTTGCTGACATTGCCGGCCACATAAGTGCACTTGTATACGGCAAGGTTTTTCTCCTGACCCGAACCTCAGAAGGGGCTCGCTTTCCGTTCCCGTGAGGATGCCTGCGACTTCACGTTCTCCTCCTTCGAGCTCCTCTCGCTCCACCTTGAAAGCAAAAGAAGTAGGTTGCTGGTAGTAACTGCCCTTGTTCGCAACCAGCCACTCCCCACGCCCTAGAACTCCGGGAGCAAGTCTAACTCCTTCTACTTCCTCTCCTCTCTGGAACTTTTCCAGCACAACCTCTGCGGGCTCCACAGCTTCTCCAGGTACGTCCAAGGCGCCTCCACCTTCTCCTGCAGCAGGTCGACGGCGGACCCTTCGTCCACCAGGAACTGCGGGCTCTGGGATTACGGCAGCAGCAGGGCGCCGAAGTCTCCTTGGCGCAGCAGCAGGACGAGCACCAATCCTCATGCGTTCCTCCTGGACTCCCTTTGTCTCTTTCTTTCGTCACTGAAGCCGAAGAGATTGATATCCTTAGATCTCTCACGCCGCACAATGCCCTTTGACTTTCTCTCGACACCTCCTCCAGCCCGAGAGACCCAAGCTGGGGGCGGTCCCGGCGGTTCAGGTGGCCTTGAACTCCCTGGGGCACGCCTTGAAGGTGATGAGGTACTCCAGGAAAATGGGGCCTCAGTAAGAGACCACCGACCAGGCGGAGCAGAGGGACCGTCACCCTCAGATTCACTCTCTTCTTTGACTGGGATGAAAGACCTAGGAGATCTCGCGGGCTGAGGTGATGCGGGGGCTTTCACACTTCTCTCTGGGGAGCTCCTCCTTCTTCTACTTCTGTCTCGCTTCTTTGATTTCTTTGACTTGGAAACTTTCTCACCCTCCTTCTCTGATGCTAGTCTTTCTTTGTTGGGGGATGGACCTTTGTGGCTGCTTGAATGTCCTGCCCCCCTGCTTTCTCGTCCTCTGCTCCTCGACTTTTCTTCCTCGGTCCCAACCCCTCCTCCAGGGGTGACCGAGAGGTCAGGCCTGCCTTCTGCCAAAGGCGGGACTGACCCGGAGTGGCGGATCTCAATAAGATCCGAGAGTTCACACACAGCGTGCCTCAATATTGCCGCGGCACACCGTGCTTGCCCAGCGTCACCGTGGAATCTCCCGATCAAGGACCCACACCTGCGCCACGCCAGACACGCTTGGCAGTTACAGGATAGCCTCTCTTCCAAGGGCGAGAGGCCACCCATAACGCAGAGCCCAAGCTGCGGGTGTAAAAAAGTATGCTTACCTTTCATATTTATCAACGGGGGCGTTTACCCATATATATATCCCTATGGTTTCATGGCCATTTTGGTTTTATGCACTGTTGTCAGACACACCCATGCCAACAAACAAAGGGGATTTGCCATATTGGGAGGGGTTCACAAGGTCAGTTTTGTTGGGTTTTATGCGGGAAACCCAAGAAGAAACCATCCCTCATATTCAGCATGCACATGATCATCGCCAACCTACAGGCACCTCATCCTGCAGAACCTTTTGTCATTCGCGAAGATCGGGTGCGCAATGTGACGGGTACAACCGAAGTTCTTGTGACGGCATCTTGACTGCGGCTTAAGCTGTGTCAGCTGAAAATGGTCTCCAAATGGCAAAAGGTCAAACGAACCGGAAAGCAGGATGTGCACTTGTCCCAGTCCCACCCATTTCCATGCACAAAACATGTTTGACAGCGCAAGATGATCTTGTTCAGTGATGCTGATATGGGTGTATCTGTACATTTTTCATATATGTACGCATATTGTGTATGTGTGTATGTGTGTATGTATGTATGTATGTATGTATGTCTGTATGTCTGTATGTCTGTATGTCTGTATGTCTGTATGTCTGTATGTCTGTATGTCTGTATGTCTGTATGTCTGTATGTCTGTATGTGTGTGTGTCTGTATGTATGTATGTATGTATGTATGTATGTATGTCTGTCTGTATGTATGTATGTATGTATGTATGTACGTAGGTATGTATGTATGTATGTATGTATGTGTATATATATATGTGTGTGTGTAGATAGATGTATCTATATGTCAAATATTGTCCAATGCTATAGATACACATATAAATGTGTCGAGTGTTAATTCTATGTGTGTTAGGCAGAGCAGCGCGACTTTTGATCCATTAAGAGCCTGCGCAATCACAGGCAGTTGTTGCACTGATAAGAACAGATACTTCACCTGTCCAGCAGTGATAAGAACTGATACTACATCTGTCCAGTTGTACATGCATGCACATGAACCCTTTTGCACTCCCCCCACGACTTTGTCGTGCATAAAAGGGGGCTTCGCCTGGAGGCTCTTTCAGGATCGGCTAAGGGCTCAAGGCTCTTAAAATTGGATTTGCCAGTGATGCCAGGTTGTTGTTAGGCCCCACTGGTCTTAAAATCACTACGGTGCATAAAGACTTGCACCTTCCATCAACCTTGGCATGTAAAGACTCACACCTTGGCTGACATCGTGGCAGTAAAGACTCTGCCAAAGGAAAAATGCCCGGCTCTCAAAAGAGCATCTTTTCAAAATTGCGCTCCACCTGGATCATGCCGTAGAGCTCGAAGTCACTGACAGGGCCGGTGAATCGGATCTCACCGTCACCCTATCGGCAGCCTCTTCACGGCGCTCCACATAAACATTTGTGGAACTTGCTGCAGCTTTCGATGTTGTCGTTGGCGGACGCAACACCGGTCGCAGACCCAAGTCTGCTGCAGCTTTGGCTGGTTGAACTCCTCGTTCTGCTCGAAGTTCGCCAGTCATCCGCAACATATGGGACAACGTCGCCCTCTGACCATGGTTTCCCATCATCTGCTGTTGTGGTGGCTGCAGACTGCCACCTTGATCACCACCATATCCTGCCGGACCCTGTGGTCTTTGCTGCATCGGCGCAGCCATTGGTGGTTGCCCTTGTGGAGGTCCAGGCACATAGTTCGGAGCTGCCCTCGGCATCACCTTGGCCGGAGGTGGACCCATTGAAGGTGGTCCCGCTCTCACTTGAGGTGGTGGGCCCGCTGGTGGTGGACCTGGCATTGCATGTTGTGCTGGAACTGCTGGTGGTTTGGCCATGCGGTTCATCCACTCCTGCATGTTCTGTTGTTGAAACCAAGCCTGAGGTGGCGGTTTCTTTCCAGGTTGAACCATCCCGTGCTCAAACGGAACCCCTGGGTCAGCCTCCTCCTCTGTGCTTTCTCTGGTCAGCCCATTCTTCGGCACAGCCACCACATTTCCTTGGAGCGCAAGCGAATGCGTCACCCCAGGAACCACTGGCCGGCGAAGCATCAAGCCCACCTGCGCAAAGTCCATCTCCACCTGCAAGCCATTGAGCACACCATATCTGTAGGTCTGCATGGATCCAACCCAACTGGTTTGATCCCACTGGACCCAACGTCCATACGTCAAAGGGATTGTTTGGCCCTGCATCAGCGCTGTCATCACCTGCTGTACATGCTGCGCTGGCGGTGCTGGTGCCATGCCAAAACTTGCCTTTGCCCGCATCTGTTGCCCCAAACTTCCTGGGACCATCGGCGCCATCTCATGCTCCGGGTCGTTGCGCACCACCCTTGAAGGGCGCGCATTTCCAACCTCTGTGTCCTGCTCCACATGGACCTCTTCTTCAACGTTCTCTGGCTCTGCGTTGACCTCTTCCTCAACATTCGCTGGGTCACCCGCAGTGGTCGAAGTGATTGCCACCTCGGTTGCTGTGGTAGCTGTTGGTGGGTCTGTTGCAGGCCCTTCGGCTCCACCATCATCACCTCCACCATCATCTTCATCGTCGCCCTCGTCCTCTTCAGGGATGACCTCCATGTCATTCTCAGAGGCCTCTTCCTCCGCAGTCTCGCTGCCATCTTCATGCAAACCATCTGCCACAGGCTCCAAGGCTTCACTGCCCTTTGCCTTGCCCTTCGCTGCGTAGTGGGCCTGCAGCTCGTCATTGGTGGCTGGTTTGCCTTTTCCAAGTCGTGCGACAGAGGTGCGACTTCTACTGCTGCTGCTGCCAGCTTGGCCTGGGGTGGTGCCGCTTTCCGTCATCTCCTGAACATCCGCAGCGTAGTCCACCGCTGCTGTAGCTGCCTCCACCGCCAGAGCCACCTCATTGGAGTCCTCGCTGGTAACATTCACCTGGTCGGCTGTGCGCAACGCCTGGACCGCCTTTGCATTGGCCGTCGCCAGGAGGATGCTTCTCCTCTGTTCAGCCGGCGTATCGCCACGCCCCATCAGCACCGGAGCTGCCTGCGCTGAACCTTTTCCTCCTTGGTCATGTGTGAAGAGCTGGCGGGGTCGACAGCCCTTGGCGAAGATCCTTTGCCAGGACAGGTTGGGACTGAGCACCCCATGGATGATCGTTGACCCATCCTTGCCCGTCTCCACATCCTGCTTGGTGCCTCTGCCACGTCCCCGAAACCAGTATCCAGGGGGTCGCGCCCAAGCCAGTCTTTGCCTTTTGACATCCAGGGTTGTGCATGTCCTGCGTGGACTTTCTTCTTCATCTTCATCTTCATCATCCGCTGGAGGATCCGGCCCATGGTCTCGTTCTGGTTCTCGTCGATTTCGACGATCTCGGCCAGGATCATCTCCATCTCCACCTGGTGGGGGCATAGCCATTGCACCATGCTTGCCCTCCAACTGCACTTGCCTTTCCGTCTGTGGGGGCTGCTCCTCATCCACAGACTCTGAAACCAACTCATAGCTCCCATCAGACTGCGTGTCATCCACCTGCTGCGCTGGTGGTCTTGGAGGTCGCTCTTGTGGTTCTGGTTCTCGAAGACGTGGATCGTAGTTGCGGATCGGCACGTACTCAAACCCAAAGCGACTGCCCCTCATCACTCTTGTTCCCATTGCTGCTTGTCCACGTTGTTGAACTGGTCCAAGCTGTTGGGATTCTGTTCCAGCCCAAATGGCCGAAGTTGTAGGGCTCATCATTGCTACCCTACCACGTTCAGACACCTTGCCAGTGCCCTTTCCTTTTTGGTCAGGCTGACCATCCATCTGGCCTTGTTGGCCTTTGTAGTGACCTCCTTGGCCCTTTCCATGGCCAGGCTGGCCATCATCTTGGCCATTGTGGCCTTTTCCCTTGGTTGCCCTCGAAGCCGGCAGTGAAGAAGTTCCTGTTGCCGAACTCCCTGACGACCTCGCCGTGCTCTCCATGGCGTGTCGCCCGGCACCCAAAACCTCAGTTGGCGGCTCGAGCCCAAGGTCCTCAACAGAGAAGTCCTCAATCGGATCTCCTTCAAGTCCATGCCATTGCTCAGCACGACCAACCAAGTTGCAGTTGAAACCATGCCCATCCCCTTGGCGCCTCTTCGAAAGACCTCGTTGTTGACGTCTCTTCCCATGGCTGACTTTGAGCGCCCGAAGTTGCGGCCCGTGGCAGCCCGAAGAGCAGTTGTCAAGGTTTTGAGATGATCTTTGTGGGGAGGAAACTTGATCCCTTTGAGGATAGTACTCAGCACTAAGACTACGCTCCATGTTCGAAACCCTAAGGTTTCTTTTCCCCTCCACATCGATCATCCCTTTTGGGGAAGGTTTCATGGCCTCCTTTTGGCTCTTGTTGGGCGGTTCATTTTCCCTGCCCTCTTCTTGCATGGTAGGTTCATTTGGGGCCCTCACCATGGTTTTCATCAACCTACGGGGTGGTTCATCTTCCCTACCCTCATGTCTCAACGCCGGTTCATTTGGTGCCCTGACGTTGGCCTCTTCCATGTCAGTTGGTTCATTTTCCCTAACTGACCATGGTGGGGAAGGTTCATTTTCCCTTTCCCTCTTTTTCATCATCCAACATGCAGCAACGATGAGGCCCAGACCAGTTTCTTGACACTGAGAGTCATCTGTCTCCATCAGCGTCTGGCCAGTTGAGAGAAGCCTCACTACTATCTCTTCCTCAGCTCTCAGCTCATCTTCTGCACGTCGTAGATCGTTGAGATCGTCCAGGTAGATGGAGTCCACAAAGTTGTCCATCTTTGGTCCTTGAAGCGGTTTCGTCGCTCCATCCGCTGGAAGCACCAAACCACTGACATGCCTCGCACACCATCGCGAGAACTCATCTTGAAACGCTTCTCGAAGTCGAGCATACCTGATCCTCAGATGTCTTGTTCTCCAACTACCTGTGTCATTGGTGCACAAGTGAAGTGCGCTTTTGGAGTCGCAGTTGAGGGTCTTGTTGATGTCCCCAACGCCCATCACCTCCAGGAGTGCTGCAAGGCTTTCTCCAC